GAGTGCATCATTAGTACCTAGATAAATAGGCTAATACCAATATCAAGCGAGGGTAAACAAAATTAGTAGAAACAAATCTAATAATAACTTCGTTCGTAAGTAGCGTTAAGAGGATGAGTGTTAATCAATCACATTTATTTTAGCTGCAACAGATATATAAACCTGTCCGTTAGTCATAAGTTCAGTTTGTAAACTAATTTGAACAAGGCACCGTGTGTAAAAATTGTCAAATAGATTGCAATATAGTGGAAATTTTTACTATTGTTCAAATTTAAATTATTAATAGTTTTGAACCAGTGATCTAAACAATGTCTGTGAAAGAGATTGGCGTGAAAGGAAAGGCGATTGGGAGTCAAGGAAAGGAAATTATCAACAATGTCAATAACTTCATGGTACAGGAAAGTGTAGAGGGATTAAAGTTTCCACTTCAACAATACCGGTATGTATGAATGTAAAAGATTTTTATAATTATTGTCAATTAAAACTGATTATTCTTCAAATAAAATAGAACGCCACTGCGCTCTGTCGACGACCGCGTGATGAGCGGACCCGCCCACGATGACGTAGTGGTCATATTCTAAGAGCGTTCGAACCATACGAGCCGTGAACAAAGAAATCTGGCAACGTAGGTGGTAGTGTTACTCCCGCCGCTGCTTGCTGCATCGACGCAACTCGTGCTCAAAACGCTGAGAAAACATAACCTTTTCAATTTGTGATTTGGGAATCCCAGAGGCTGTAATTAAGAGATAAGCTTGTTTTCTAAGCTTCAAAGTGTGTGTATGTGTTCAAAGTGATCGGTGACTATAATGTATGAGAAATAGACTCCAGTTGTAGTGCTTCTGTGCTTTAAAAATAAACTAAGAAGTGTGACTGTGGCTGTTCGCGCCTCAGGACGCTAAGGATTTCAACTATTGAAAACGTGCAAATTCAGGTTGTATTTTTCTTTTTTCATTTATCAAGTATTTGACGCAGACAATATGCCTCGTTGTTGCTGTGTTCCTTTATGCAATGCAAACTATAATTCTGCTTTGAAAACAGAAAGCTATGTTTCAACTTTTCGCTTCCCAAGTACCGAAAGTCTGAAAAACAAATGGCTTATGGCAATTCCCAGAAAAAATTGGACACCTTCAAAATATTCAGCTGTGTGCAGTCGTCATTTTAGAGAATCGGATATCATCAGGACAGAAAATATAGTTTTGGCGGATGGAACAGTCCAAAATAATATACCTTTGAAATATCCAAAATTGAAAGAAAATGCCATCATATCCTTCAAAAACTGAAGCACCCAAAAGAACTGACCCAATGCAAAGAAAACAAAAATTAATTGAGAAACATGAAAAAGCTATCCAGAATTTCGATGATATGGATAAGATCAAAGATAAATTTAGTTCAAAAATGTGGATTTGAAGTTATTTGTGTTGTTACTGATAATCACCGAATTAATAGAGCAATGTTCAGGAAATTAGCAAAGGATTCATCAGAAAATTATTCTATTCCAAATCCACATAATCCTGATAAGAACATATATTTAACTTATGATGTTGTGCATATTTTCAAGAGTATCAGAAATAATTGGATAAATTTAAAAAACCTAGACAAAACTTTTGTATATCCTAATTTTGACAATAATGATATTATTCAGTATGCCAAATTTGAAAACATTCGTGCTGTATATCAATTGGAAAAAGAAGTTGTAGTTAAGAAAGCATATAAATTAAATTATAAAACATTGCATCCAAATTCATTTGAAAGGCAACATGTAAATTTTGTAGATAATTTATTCCATCACTCAACAATAGCTGCTATGAAAGAATTAAAGTTTAATGATGCTGCACACTTGTTGAAAATAATCAGGAATTGGTGGGATATTGTCAGTAATACAAGTGTAATAAAAGGAGAATTGAAGCGAAACGAATTTTGTAAGCCTATTACCAATAAATATGATTATAGAGTACAATTTTTAAAAAAATTCCTGATATGGTTAGAAAAATGGCATAATCTAGAGAATAATAATGGACACCTGACACCAGAAACGTATACAGCTCTATATCAAAGCACGCTGACTCTACTTAATATAATTGAATATTCATTTAATCAATTTGACATTGAGTATGTATTGCCTGGAAAATTCACTACTGATAATTTAGAAAAACGATTTGGCAATTATAGACTTTTATGTGGCTGCAGTTACAATGTGTCATATGATGAAATTTTAAATGCTGAAAAGAAAATACGGCTGAAGCATATTTTCAATGAAAAGAAATCGTCATTTTCTTTAGCAGAAATTAAAACAAGGTTCCAAAACTGCTTAGAAACTCAAGAAAATTTTGATTTCTTGGATACCAAACAAAATCCTGAAGTTTTGGATATTTTCAATGAAGTATTTGAGACAAATTACATAGCCAATTGTGACATAGAGGATACTAAGACTTATATATCTGGATATGCTTCACACGCTATCTCTAAAAACCTAAACTGCGAGATATGCAAATCGCTAATAGTAAAAGAAAAAGGTTCATTAACAACAAATGTTTATTTTGATCATTTGCAAAGAGGAGGACTGTCAATTCCAACCAGTTATGTACCAATCATATTCTACCATATGTATGCCATTTTTGAATCTATTATTAATGTAGATAGATTGGAAATTTTCTTCTTGAAAAGCAATAATCAAAATTTTATTTTGTGTCAGTTAACCTTGCTCAGCATTCAGTCTGACTTTATATACAGTGAATTTTCTTTAACTTGCATCTGTGGCCGCAATTATGCAGATATTTTATCTAAGCTTTTGTCTATTTTTTCAAACATAATTTTGAATGATTATGTAATATTGAAAAATAACAGTAAAACCGAAAGTAAATGTATTAAAAACAAACAGGTAACTCCACATTTCCAAGCTGGGCCTGTTGGAACACAGTGTGCTGACACCAAAAAACGTAAACTAAATACTTTTAATTAGGTTAACTACATTAGCGACTCATATATATCACGATTATTTCGTATTTTTAAATGTTTTAGAGCTATTTCATATTCAGACGATTTGTATCGAATCGAACTGTCCTCTTTTCCAAAATTAAATTCAGTTCTTGAACGTTCCACGGAGACGGAGCACACAGCCGCTGGCGGCCGACGTTCACAGGTAGCACTACCATGCCGTCCGAGCGCGGTGTTGCCTTTCTTTCATCACGGCTCGTAGTTGACGTCGGCTGTGTCTCGATTTATAATATCACGGCTGGCGCGTATGGCATGCTTGACCGGTGTGCTTCTGCACCGTAGCCAAATAATCGATACTAAGAGCAATGGTTGGGGACTATGGAGTATCGATTAATTGTATCGGACTGCTTGGCTGACTTGATCCATTTATTTTTTTGTTATACATTTTTGTAGCTAGCTCAGAGGAAGTAATTTGTGTCGAATGAACTGATGATAGCCTTGCGTGGGAAGTTAACCTACATGACACTATTTTTTGATAACGATAAACATGTTAACGTACTGCTTAATAATATATTTTTTTCATAACTGAACGCAAAACTTCATGTTGCCGTTTTTGAATAAAAACAACGTGAATTTTTTATATTGACAGTGATATGTCAAAAGTTATTAATAGAGACAAAACTTATCTGGACTTATGTTCAAATAATGGGTGATTTTTTTGCTAGTATCTTTTTGGCAACACTGTTTTTGACAGATGACGCGTGAATCGTGTCTTGTGTCATTGTCAAACTTGTTCAGTTTGGTCTGTAATTTAACCATGAGTCAACTTACGAACGAACAACGCTTGCAAATTATTGAATTTTACTATCAAAATTCATGCTCGGTTAAGAGAGTGCATCGAGCACTGCTTCCAACTTATGGGCAATTTGGTCAGCCTACTGAGGGAGCTATTCGGAAGCTTGTGACTAAATTTCGAACCCAGTTTACATTATTGGACATTAAACCACCAACACGCAGACGTAGAGTGAGGACTAAAGAAAATATTGCGGCTGTATCCGCCAGTGTTAGTGATGACCGTGAAATGTTGATTCGCCACCGTTCGCAGCAATTGGGTCTCTGTTACGCCACTACGTGGAAAATTTTCGACAGGATTTGGGTGTAAAACCTTATAAGATACAGCTGGTGCAAGAATTGAAGCCACACGACCTCCCACAACGTTTCCAATTTGGTGAATGGGCGCTGGCAAAGTTGGAGGAAGATCCACATTTTTATGGAAAAATTGTATTCAGCGACGAAGCTCATTTTCGGTTGAATGGGTACGTTAACAAGCAAAATTGGCGCATCCGGAGTGAAGACCAGGCAGAAGCATTGCAAGAGCTACCAATGCATCCCGAAAAAATCACTGTTTGGTGTGGATTATGGGCCGGTGGCATCATCGGGCCGTACTTCTTCAAAGACGACAATGGCCGAAACGTAACTGTGAATGGCGAGCGCTACCGTGCGATGATAACAAACTTTTTTTTGCCCAAAATGGAAGAGCTGAACTTGGCTGACATGTGGTTTCAACAAGACGGTGCCACATGCCACACCGCACACGAAACAATGGCTCTATTGAGAGGCGAGTTCGGTGAACAGTTTATCTCACGTTTGGGGTCCGTCAATTGGCCGCCTAGATCGTGTGATTTAACGCCGTTGGACTATTTCTTGTGGGGCCATGTTAAGGCTAATGTCTACAGGGACAGCAACGATTGACGCACTGGAAGCCAATATTGAAGCATTTATTCGTGAGAAACCGGCCGATATGTTGGAAAGAGTGTGCCTAATTGGACCTTGCTCATGGGCCATCTAAAGCGGAGCCGCGGCCAACATTTACATGAAATAATCTTTAAACATTAAATTATATCGACCGTTCTATCGACTCAAATAAAGATTTAATCGTTTTTTCAAATTTTTTGTTTTTTTTGAAAATCAAATCCTATACCTCTTAAAAAATCACCCGTGATAAGGATTTCATTCTCTATTTAACTCTTTTTTTGTTTTAGGATTAAAAAATAATCGTTACTTACCTGGTAGGCCTTTTTAATGTATCTACTTCTTCCAGTTTACTCCAGGAAGGTCTACTTGTTGATGTACCCAGACGTATTGTATTGATACCACCAAATGGCGGCAATCACTATTATACATAAAAAACTCCTTCCTCTTTACCCACTTCAAGCTACACTTTTCCAATCACTTATACCCTATATTTCTAGACAGAATATGGGAACTATCGACCTGTCCAGGCTTTTGGAGCATCTACAGTTAATAAGTAATTAGAGCCTTGAAAATCTTTCCAAACGTTTCCAACAGTTTTTTCAAAATTCTGTTCAGTTTGAACTTTTCTTTGGTATCATTGTTATCAATATCAAACACTTGGTACATCTATTTTTTATAATACACTTTTTTCTTTTTAATATGAAATAAAAATGTGTTGACTACCACTAAAGACCGCATAACTAAATTTTCACTAGAAACGTTATTTCTGGTTAGAATCCCATACAATACTGGGTAGTGGAAGACGTTATAAGGATTTAATCTTATTAGAGAAATGTATATGTAGGTTAGACATTTGAACGATTTGTGCTTTGTTCTATATACCAAAGTCTGATATTATAATTAAAGCATATATGAGTATACATTCTTTGAATACATACTGGGCGTCGAAGCCTTTAGAACAGATAAGTCATATAGGGAACTGGTGGAAGCATGGTTAGATTGGTTAGCCCAGAGTTCCCCAAACTTTTTTGTGTCGTAGACCCCTTGCCATGTTTTTCCGTGTTGGGTAGACCCCCTACTTACCTGATATTGATTTCCTGTAAATTTCAAACTGTAGTGAAGTTTAGGGTTAAAAACTTAAAGTAAAAACACATGTTAATTTATACATTTATTAATTGAATTTAAATTAAAACTACTCAAAATAAAATTTTGTATCTGTTATGTAAAATATACGTAACATTAAATAAATAGGTGTCTGACCAATAAGTGCCCGCATTGGGAATAAGTGCCCGCATTGAAAAAAAAAATAAGAGGGATAAAATAAAAAAAAAAGTGAAAAATAATAAAAAAGTTTTTTACTTAAAATAGTACAATAAGCGAGTTCGTTTATTAATTATACATAAACGTATGTTCTACAATAATTTCACTGTTAGTTTGATTAAATTCCGCTTCTTATACGTTTAAGTTATCTAAAAATAGGCAAAAAATTTACGAATTTTAGTGTGTACCTATCCTTGAATTTTCAGAATAATTAAAAAAAATATTTTCTATAAAGGGGGGTTCTTTAAAAAAATCAATGCGGGCACTTATTCCCAATGCGGGCATTTATTGGTCAGACACCAATAAACATAAAATAAACTATAAATAAAATAACATAAGCAATAAGTCAATATTTTTAGTGAGAAGGATGAACCTGATGCTTTAATAATATATTATCAACATTAAGCGTCAATTTTGTAAGGGTTAATCTTAAATCTCCTCGGCTAATGATGTCCAGTCTGTTTCTTTTTTTCGTTAGGAGATTGGTAACAGCGCTGAACCCCCTTTCCACTAGGTATGACGATGGAAAGGAAATTAAAAATTTCCTCGCTATATTCCATAATACGGGATAAGTAACGGGTATGTTGTTTTGCAGCCAGAATTGCTGATATCCGTTTTTAAACTGAACCTTAAGTTCTTCGTTTGTACTTAGTTCAGTCAGTTCCTCTTTTATTATGACATTCGTTTCTTTTATGACACCATATGGATTAATTATCCACGGTGGTATTACCATAGTCAAAATATCCTCAAACCTAGATTCAAAATCTGAATAGAGGGCATTTAAATGTTGAACGTAAGTTGAAACGTCGTCTTCCTGGCAGCTTGTCTGTGACAAATTGGGGAACTGAGAAAATTCGCCCCGTCCAATATTTTGCTTCATTAGTTTAACTCTGGCAAGAAACGCTGATAAGATGGACTTTGTTTTAATCAAATTTAAACTGTCGCCTTGTAATTGCAAATTAACCATATTAAATTTTGTAAACAAATCTGTTAAATAGGCGATATCTGTTTTCCTCTTCATTAAATTTTCTTTTAAAATTTTATCTTTAGTATCCAGAAATTCTAAAATAGTCTCAAAAAGTGCAAAAAATCTTGTCAAACATAAGCCTTTCGACAGCCAGCGTACTTCAGTGTGAAGGAGTAATTGACGAAAGTGTTCGTCATTTTCTTCACACAACTGCGCAGATAACCGCGTGCAGGTGCTCCATCTGTAGCTACTGATATTATATTTGATAAAGGAATTGCTTTTTCAATGAAGTAATCCTTCAAAACATGAAATATTGATTCACCTTTGGTGTCGGTTATCAAAGTTCTTGCGAAGAGCAGTTCTTCGTAGATTTCTTGATTCATAATAAAACGAACATATGCCAATAATAATGCTGCAGTATCAGGTAAAGTTGACTCGTCCAGTTGTATAAAGAAATGGGTCGTTTGCAAATAATTACATAAGAAGCTTTCAATATCAGAACGCATTTCATCAATACGTCTTTCAACAGTATTGTTGCTTAAGGGAATTCTTTTAATGATATCAGATGCAGGTTTGTGTAAAACAGTTTTTAAAACCTCTTCAACGGCTGGCAAAATTAACTTCTCTCCGATAGTCTGCGGTTTTCCAGAGTTTGCTATAAGTAACGAGATATTGTAAGACGTCCGCGAACCATCATCATTTCTTTGTGACGTCGAAGCGAACATTCTGTCCAGTGTAGGTCTCTTCTGAAATTTATCTTTGAGTGTTTGAAAGTATTTCAAATCTTTCTCTGTTTTATCAGGGTGGCATCTTCTCAGATGATCTTGCAGTTTAGATGGTTTCATAGCGTCATTGCCCAAAACTTTGTTGCATAAAAGGCACATAGGCGATTGTTTGTCCGAAATTTAGATTCGGACATGGCATCAGTCATCTGTGGGCAAAATTAAATTATTTAAATAAGACAGAAAATCCAGCAGCTGTATATTAAAAATATTTTTTGATTTTTCCGAAAACATTCCATAATTCGAACATATTCTTGCAACAATTATGTAGCTCGAATTACGGAGATTGCACTGTAATTATATTACCGATTGCTAAAACTTTCAAAAAGAAACTATTGACGAGTACTCGTGTAATTTTGCATGATTGAATATTTAACTACTAATAAATAAAGTCATGGTTGGCTTAATTTATCTATCTTTGCTAACTACGAGTACAAAATTTAATAAAAAATAATGTACTTACTTTTCTCCAGCACTCTCAAACAAAATAACACTGACGCACTATAATTTGTGTGATATATATACTATCTGTTTATATTTTTTAAAATATTTTCTTAGCACTTTCCTTTTCAAGATTCAGGAAACGAATAAACGTATTTGTCCCACATTCGTATTTATAGAGTGACGAATTGAACAAGTCAGTGCAAGGTAGCGAAGCTCTGAGACTGCGACTCTCAGGTTTTTACAAGTTCAAAATGTATTGCGGCAAGAAAGCGAATACCTACACCCTACAACTTACACAATTTTATAAACATATATAATAAATTTTTTACTTCATAGGTACTTTTACAAATAATGTATATGTTTTGATATTATAAGATAGTATGATATATGTAAATAGGTACTATCAGTGTATGTGTTGAGATCCACTATCGTGGACCCCCATATTCATTTCATGGACCCCCAAATTTTTATTCACTGACGTAGACCCCTTGCAGGTCGTCATAGACCCCTAGGGGTTGATATAGACCACTTTGGGAATCAATGGTTAGCCCTTCGCGTTCAGGTTTATCTTTTGATTAGGAAATCGTTAATTTTATAGATAGATATTTATTTCATCTGTTCATGTACAAGGTACAAGGTAGACATGTCGTGAAAACAATTTAACAATGTTGGCGTTTATATAAAAACGATCACAGAATAAAGGTAGAGGTAGAAGTAACAACATAGAAATACATAAAAGGTCGAAATTACCTATTCTTCTCTGGTTAAAATTTTGAACTAAAGTATTCGCTTATGTTTAGCGGCATATGTATACAGGGTGGCGCATCGAAAACGAAACAGACGCATTTACTGGCAGCTCAGTTTTTTTTTGGAAAAACGCTCAGACCCGTCGATTTTGTTTTCGAGGGGGACACCTGGGCGGGGGTGACACCAACCCTAAAATCTTAAATGGAAAGGGGGGTCGAGTGATACCTTATTTTAAAGGTCTTTCAATTCCCTTTATAATGATATAAAATTAATGTACTTCAGTTCAGTAGTTTTGAAGATTTATTGATTTAAAGCTTAAAGTAGACTTTAATAGGTACATCAGATTAGTTTGTACTACTTTCAGAAGAAATTTGACTAAAAGAATTTACCTAATAAGTACTACGCCCATGGTTTGTTTATCATTTTGTTGTTGAAAATAGCTATTGGAGCGTTTTTATGTTGCAAAAAAGTTATTTCTTGAAAAAAGATAAGGAAATATCTCGTACTTATTTTAAATAGGAATTTAGTACATAGTTTTCGATTGATTTGACCAAACTTTGTTGCTAAAATAACTTGTAACGCTTTATTACATAAATTAACCATGGTATATTCCACAGCAGAAAGAGTTGAAATTACCGAAATATTTTTCGGAAACAATCAGTGCGCTAATAGAACAGCTGAAATATTTAATGAGCGACATGAGAACAGTAACGTGCATCGAAAATATGATCAAGAACTTGTAGCTAAATTTCGGGAAGCTGGGTCAAACGCCAATAGAAAACACAACATTGAAAATCCCATAAGGAACGAAGAAATGGAAGTGGGGGTTTTAGGGCAAGTTTATGTAGATCCTACGTTAAGTACCCGCAAATTGGTGTGGTGTTAGTCGACGTACTGTCCAACGGATTCTAAAGGCCCATAGTTTTCATCCGTATAAAATTCACCTGGTACAAGAACTTAATGAAGACGATTTTGATCGGCGATTACAATTTTGTGAAGATATGAGTGAACGAATTATAAACGATGAACATTTTCTATTCCGACGAATGTTCCTTTTTCTTAAATGGCGTAGTAAATCGTCATAACTGCCGATATTGGTCCGATTCTAATTCCAGAATTTATCATGAGGTTCATACACAGCAGCCACAAAAATTAAATATTTGGGCTGGTATTTTTGGCGATCATTTGGTTGGTCCTTTTTTCTTACCTGGAAATTTGACCGGTGAAATGTATTTGGAATTACTGGAAGCCGCCATAGATCCTGCATTAACAGCCATAATTGAAAATCAGAATGATCGGCGGTACATTGCGAATAGGTTGACGTTCCAACAGGATAGTGCCCCACCACATTACGCATTACGTATTCGACAATATTTAGATAAGACGTTTCCAGATCGATGGATTGGTAGAAGAAGGTTGAATGGCCCCCAAGATCGCCAGATTTATCACCTTTGGATTTCTTTATGTGGGGTCATTTAAAAAGCAAAATCTATGCTACTCTGCCAACATC